TTTTAATGCAATTTACTTATATTAAATTGCAAATAATATTGTAATTTTATTGTACTATGTCTTGCATGAGAAATTAAATCATTTGAATCCTTGAATATTTGAATGTAATAACCAAATTTCATATGATGGTAGAGTATTAAGATTTTTTGCAGACTAAACACATTTTGAAAATAAAATTTTATGAATACAATCGTGCTAATTGGTAAATACCATTTAAGATTTCCTCTCCAAATATGGAACCGAATTTTCGTAGAACAATCGATTTATAGATTTTCAAATGGAATTTTAAAGCTATATGGCTATATGGAGCAAATTTTAACACTTGTGATATCATGATGTAACAGAATCACTGATTCAGTGACGAAATCAATCTTACGATTTGATCTTCTAAATCAGTCTTTGGACTGAAAACTTTTATCAGGGGCCTTCATGACACCAGTACCCCCCCCCCCTCACCACCCCCACCCTTAGTGATTGGACCTACGCTTAATTAATTAAAGGGACTTGGTTACATCGTTCAGATGACAGAAAATGATGCTAAGATAGTGAATTCAAGCTAGATGTAAAATTAAAGATCATCTGAAATTTTGAGGGAAAACAGACCATTATTAATCATAAAAGTTAAGAAAAAAATGATCTGATCGGTTCTTAAATTCTCCCGACTATATTACATCTAAACCGAATTTTAGATGAACGTGTATCGTCATAATGAATTGGCTCTATATAACATTCCAAACATTTAAGTGTTGAAAGATTTTTAAAAGCCTGTTTTATATGTTATTTCATGAAAAAACGGTTAGGATTTTTTTTAAATACTGTTAGAGGGAGTTAGATATTGACGCTTTTAAAGAAAACCATAAATATCTTTGTGGTTTGAGAATTTTTCAGGATTTTTAATGGGTTACAGGTACTGTAGAAGGAATATAATAAGTAACATTTCATACAAAAATTAGGCATTTTGTCTTCAACCTTCAACAATGGTACCGGTTTTCTGTTGTTTTTTTTTCAAATAGTATAGCTGGTGCCCCCCTTTCATCAACAGCAGTAGTCCCTTAATAAGTGGACCGATGGTATATGTTACGCCACTGCATGTGTTTAACGGGGTTTGACTGGCATTTCCATCCGACCAAAATAGTAGCTCGCATCCAGTTTTCAAATTAAAAACGAGATATTAAATCGCTCACCCCATTAGAGCAGTCGGATGTGAAAAGAAATTAGTCTATTATTGTGACCTATTTACAAGTTGATTATTCGTTATCCCGCAGAATTTAAAACGACATTATTTTCGATAAGGCATATACAACACTCGCGCATGCACGCAATGTTAAATGACTCGTATCATAATTATGATAATGGGATATTTAATGGATTAGATGAAAATACTTAAAGGGAAACCATCCTGATATTAAATTATGAATATAGACGCAGAAAATGAGGGTGAAACCAGTGAAAGTTTAAGAAAATCCTTCAAAAGAAGTTTTAAACATGTTTAAATTTTGATCTCACGCAATATGATAAAGTTAAGCGGCACTGTGTCCTCTACATGCAAAACTGATGTATACACACACGTGTATTTTGTTAAAGATTTGGGACACGTACGTTTTCCCCTACACGACCAGTACACTCTGTACACAAGTAAAACTACCGTGGTCTAGTGGTTACGTCGTCGGACTTTAGATCCCATGATTCGAAGTTCGAGTCCCGCCGCAACACTTATGTCCTTTGGCTAAACATTAAACTGCATTTGTCACTCTTCACCCGGGTATTAAATGGATATCAAATGACTCCATGAATGCTGAACCCTTTCCACACACCCTCTCTTCTACACACTCTTTCTACACCCCTTGTTACACTTCCTCCAACACTAAACACCCCTCACACCCTTTAATATACACCCCTTGTTACACTTCCTCCAACACTAAACACCCCTCACACCCTTTAATATACACCCCTTGTTACACTTCCTCCAACACTAAACACCCCTCACACCCTTTAATATACACCCCTTGTTACACTTCCTCCAACACCAAACACCCCTCACATCCTTTAATATACACCCCTTGTTACACTTCCTCCAACACTAAACACCCCTCACACCCTTTAATATACACCCCTTGTTACACTTCCTCCAACACTAAACACACCTGACACCCTTTAATATACACCCCTTGTTACACTTCCTCCAACACTAAACACACCTGACACCCTTTAATATACACCCCTTGTTACACTTCCTCCAACACTAAACACCCCTGACACCCTTTAATATACAACCCTTGTTACACTTCCTCCAACACTAAACACCCCTGACACCCTTTAATATACACCCCTTGTTACACTTCCTCCAACACTAAACACCCCTGACACCATTTAATATACACCCCTTGTTACACTTCCTCCAACACTAAACACCCCTGACACCCTTTAATATACACCCCTTGTTACACTTCCTCCAACACTAAACACCCCTGACACCCTTTAATATACACCCCTTGTTACACTTCCTCCAACACTAAACACCCCTGACACCCTTTAATATACACCCCTTGTTACACTTCCTCCAACACTAAACACCCCTCACACCCTTTACTATACACCCCTCTTTTAATCGCTCCTATTTATTTAGAAAAATTGATATGTACATTGTGTATTGAAAATAATCCCAATATTGTGGATTCTATTTCACTGAATTTAAATTTGATTTTATACCCATTCTAACACCCCCTACACCCCCTTCTCCAATCGAAGAACCCCTGTACCTTCCTTAAAATTAACATCAAGTAGGGTGATAAGTAATTGTACCTATTTTATGTTGTTGTTACTTTTCCTGTTGATCCACAGGCGGTTCTACCCAGTCTAATCCGAGCTGCAGCAGTTCCAACGGGTCTGTACTAGCTTGCATCTGGTCGCCTAAGGATTTCCAATACCCGGATGCAGATGTTACAATAAGTGCTGTCTCTTACCTTGCTTTTGGCACACCCAAGTAATTGATTTTCTATATTATTATTACCATTATTAAAGGATCTATTCTTTTCAATAACGTAATGGTAGTTAAAGTGAACTTAAAAATTATCTCTTGATATCAAGAAATAGGGAAAAAATGTTAAAACGGATTGCCCAATACGCAAGCTAAATACGCAAAGGTGTGAAAGAGGCATTAGGAACAGGCAGGGGCGGATTCAGCAGGCGGCAGCGGAGGGGGCCCAATTCGTGAGAAAATATTTGACGGCGAAACAGCCGGCCGATAATTCGCTCAGTGGGGGGGGGGGGGGGGGGGGGGGTAGTGAGCACTGATTTTTTGGGGCCCTCGAAAATTTGAAAATCACGCCCCCCCCCCAATGAGCGCCAGGGGAGGGGGCCCATCTCTAAAAAAAGGTAACGTTTTTTTCCCCAGGGGAGGCCCCCCCCCCCTGGATCCGCCACTGGGAACAGGTGCCATACAACCAACAAAAGACTGGAAATGTGATATCTTGACGTCTAGTGCCGCATACATATAACTTTGGTGCTGTTTTATAATTCCATTATTTTATTTCTTAGTCAATGATGTTCTTCTTGCTTCTTCATCTTTTAATTTGTTCTAAACTACCTGTAAAAAAAATAACAATATAAGCATCACCTTGGAGTGCACGAGGACAAACATCGAAGGGGGAATAATTATGTCTCCTCTTCCTATAACGTGTCCATACGGGACCGAATCCCATGGTACTAGAACAGGCAATTTGTGTTGCCATTGAGGCATCAAAATGTCCTGACTCAAATGCATCATCTGATATACCTTCATTGTTCGTAAGGCAATCAATTATTCTCCAGGTAGCACAAAGTGATTATACTAATGCATATTTGATCAATTTTCAATTATTTCCCTGTTCTAGTTCCATGCCATTTGATGCAGCGTGCTCTAAAAACGCTCCGTCGACTTCAGCTTCATGCACGATCAGGGTCTATCATAATGCCACTAAAGGTAAAAGTTGTCGGAAAGAGCTGAACATAGTATTCTCCGCTGTTTCCGGAACAAAAAATATCATGGAGACCCTGAGATTCACGGAAACCGAAGGTGAGGATATTTTTAAAAAATAAGTTGGAAGGGGCGGATACACGATTCTTTCAAATAGATGCTGGGGCACAGTTCCGAAAAAAATAAAATTCTGACAAGTAAGGCCCCCCCCCCCCTCACACCCTAAAAGGTTGTCATTATATACCTTTTGGACAGAAATAAGGGGGTACCTTTTTTGTTGGTGTATGCCAAAATGGGCTTTAGAAGGAGCACGAGCCATTTTTGCCCCCCCCCCCTTCCCCAAAAAGAAAAATCATCCCATTGGTGTTGGTGTTTTTTTAGTGATTTATAGTTCATCAGGATTTTATTCATTTTATTTATGGTTCATAATCACTTAATAATCAAATTAGTTGACATAAGTGGGAATCCAGGGAGCACAGGAGACATCTGCCCCCTAAAGGAGAAAAGGAAGAGAAAGGGAAAAAAGGGGAAACGAAGAAATAAAGATAGAATCGTTGGCTGATAAACTTGTTTTTCGCTTGTCAGAGAATTTTCAGACATGCACAACCCCCTGCCAGAGATTCCTGGATCCACCATGGAAATAAACACTGCTACGAATCCATTTATGCAAATCCACGAATATGTTAAAGTATTTGGAGGCGGAGTCTGATTGGTGAATTGGGTGATCAGTCAATACAGTTCAAACCCTCCACGCTATACTTAAGCCCTGACGACAAAATGCGAGATAAAAATTTGAACGTGATGTTTATATATCAAATTAGACTAAGAAATCAAAGCTCGTTCAGAGAATTTCCGTGGGACTTGCGCCCCTCCAACCTTAAAAATGTAATAATATCCTTATTTCTATTTTTATTTTCAATTCTTTATTTTTTAAATTTAATTTTCCTTTATCAATTTCAGTACTTTTGAAAGGCACGCGCTCCCTCCCCTTTACGAAACTCATTCCTCTGTGAATTTCTTCTTTCTATGATTTTCTTCAGTAATCATGGCGCCCCCGAGTGGGATAAACGCTACAGTGATTGATGCCAAAGAGATAGAAGTCCGATGGGGGCCACCTTACATCGATAAAGTGTGTCCGTGTGCATATTTCTGCGTTCAACTGCAGTATGCATCCAGAATAACGAATACCTGGCATACTGCATTGGTAAGCCAATTCGACATTTATCTAAGACGCATGACATTACATAAATATTATATGAAATATATTACATAATTCATTAATAATAAACCAATACATTTGTAGGTAAAGAGCCAGAGGATATGCGACTCCTTTATAATGGACATGGTAATGGACGATTAAACTGAACGATAAAGGGCACTATTTATATCTGACCAGTAATGGTGGTGATAATTATGAAGCACAGTGAGCTTCACAGCCCATACTGATATGAGCGCTGTATAAAAAAGCCATTACTGATATTAACAAATGATTTTCTTTTATTTTTATTTTTTTTTTAAATCGAAATTTGTTTTAATATTTTTCTTTTTGCTTCAGAACCAGGGCAGTCATGGCGAAACGTGTGATACGGAAAGACGCCAGATTCTAGGGCAACTATCACCAGGTACTCTTCATGATATACGCATGCGCGCAAAGGTCAGGCAAGAAGCTTCGTTTGGTTCCTGGTCAGAAAATGTCACAGTCGGAACGTTGGAAGAAGGTAATTCAACATAATCTTAATTATTTTGATTTTTTTCGTCCATCAAAATCATCATTGTACATGTCTTTGTTATCAATGTCTATTCATTTATTTTGTTATTATCATTATCATCGTTGTCACCATCATCATCACTATCAAATTAAGATCATCGTTATTAGTAGGCCTATTTGTAGTAGAAGCAGCAGCAGCAGCAGCAGAAGTAGTAGTAGTAGGAGTAGTAGTACTAGTAGTAGTAGTAGTAGTAGTAGTAGTAGTAGTAGTAGTAGTAGTAGTAGTAGTAGTAATAGTAGTAGTTGTAGAAGTTGTATCCGTAATAGCAGCAGCAGCAGCAGTAGAAATACTATCATCAGTTGACAGTAAGTTCGGTATTAATTCAAATAATGCAGCTTAACCTTTTTCACATCCAATATACTTACTGTCAGTGTCACCCCAAACTTGGAAAAGAACGAAAAAGAGAGAAAGAGAAAGAGAGACAGCGGGTGTGGGTACACTGGTGTGTGCGTGCGTGGGTGTGTGCGTGGGTGTGTGGAAGCTTATTGGTATTCAAGGCGTAGAGCCTTAGCATACATTATAGACCTGTGATGTATCAGGGGTATGCCTGGTCTTCTTAAATCAATTGAATAACCTACTCTAGGTTTTTAATGCCCCACTGTCACAACTATCCCTAAGGACGGTTAAAGAGATTACGCATCCATTAATTCCACAGTCATTATTTGTTAAAATTTATCTTTGAGAGGGGATCGTTTCGTTTTCGAAATAAACCTTTATCTTGATTAAGTTTAGGTTCTCTGTTGAAGCACTAACTTTACATGAAATATTGTCTATAGTTAATAGTTTGTAACATTATCGTTAGTGGTGATTTTGTTGGAGATAGTGTCTTCAAAATTGCCTCAGTCTCCGAGCCGGTTTGATCTTGAGCTAACTCCTTCATTATTTAAAAGGAATATTCAATACTTTATTAAGATATATGTATATATATTGATATCAATTTGTCAACATTATGTAAATGTGTAGGTATGACATATGATAAAATTGCAACGTAAGCAGCACAAATTACACGTTTAGAAATAAGGGTGCAATTGAGGTGCAGTTTTGCATCCACCTAGGCGTATTTGGCAGAGGGTGCTGCTATTGCAGCAGAATTGTACCCTTATTTCTTAGTGTGTATGACGAAATGGCCGTCGCACACGAGGCGTCATTTTGGTTACGTAGAACTGCGTCAAGCGCCTCGCACGGCCTTTGGCGCGCCATGTGAAAGGAGCATATCACAAATAAAGGATTCAAAACAAACAGTGCACAGGTATCTTTGAATTAATGATGCATGCACTAGTTGCCTTCGCCGGCTTGATTGATAAAGCTAATAGCGCAATAGAAGTAACACTGCCTGTCACGATACGTCATTTAATGCGTTACTGAAATGCAATAAACCCATACAAAAGTTATTCAAGGAAATGAACGAATATATTCTATTCATTTCGCATTCCCATTGTGGCCCCTCTCAAGTAGCGGGTCAAATATAGTGCTGGCCACTGACGCAATCATGCGTCAGGAAAATGACGCCTCGTATGCAAAAGGCAGTACTGATATCTATCACTGTAAAGGTAATTTTTTTAATTCACTTTCTACGAGACAGCACCGACGGGGCTTGTAGAGCATATAACACAGGACAGCCAGAGGATTGCAGGCCACCCCTATGAAAGGAAAGTCCGTCTCACTTGGAGTTGGAGAGTAAGAAACACATTTTCTTCATTTTAAAGGGGGTGTAGCATGGCAAATACTGGTTAACGCCATCTACGACTTCTTTTGGACAACTGCACGTATTAAAAGGAACGGACTTGATCAACGGTCAGCGCGCGCTACCGTTCGCGAAACAGATCGAAGTTCTCCTCATGCTTCAGTTTCGCGTATGTTGCACGCACATGAATACTGTGGTATACGTGGTCCGTAGTAGTATTTTATACCCCAAGACGAAAATCCAATTGAATCCCCATTGAATGTCCCCATTGAATCCAATTTGGAGTAAATGGAAAGTGAAACAATAGGTACCCATTGAAACCAATGGGGACCAATTGCCAATTGGTTTCAATGGGTACCCATTGTTTCACTTTCCATTTACTCCAAATTGGGGACCAATTGCCAATTGGTTCCAATGGGGACCAATCGCCAATTGGTTTCAATGGGTACCCATTGTTTCACTTTCCATTTACTCCACATTGCCAATTGGTATTGAATTGGGATTCAATGGGGCATTCAATGGGGATTCAATTGGTAAATCGATCAAGTTAGAAGAACCAGTGATAAATTATTGATACTTCATAATCGATATTGGCAACTGTCCACCAATTAGGTATATTCCAATCTCATTTGCATTAACTTCATCACATAGATCATTTGAAGCGAATTCAAGAGTTTCATTTACAGTGACGTTGGCTCGTACAAATATATATACTAAATATGTATATTGTTTTTTGGTTAGTAATCATATAATCAATATATAAATCAATATATCTATTGCTAAAACGTGAATGTAATTGTAACATGATCAGACAAAATAATCTATTGGTTAATAATTGCTGAAGGAATAAAGAAATCACAAAATTGATGTGCATTGTCATAATTTGCTTAACAAATCATGATAAATTTATTTTTCTGTGACACGTGTAAAGTGATAATGAATATTCATGAGATGCCTAGATTTGTTGGTTTCAATTGGCCAATTGGTTTCAATGGGACCAATTGAAGTCCAAATTAAGGCCAATTGGTCCAATTGAAACCAATTGGGGACCCATTAAAGTCTAATGGGGCCTAGGCCAATGGGTCCAATTTGTCCAATGGGGCCAATCCGGACCAATTGAAACCAATTGGGGACCCATTAAAGTCTAATGGGGCCTAGGCCAATGGGGCCAATGGGGCCAATTTGTCCAATGGGGCCAATCCGGCCCAATTGAAACCAATTGGGGACCCATTAAAGTCTAATGGGGCCTAGGCCAATGGGGCCAATGGGGCCAATCTGGACCAATTGAAAACATCTGAGGTCCCATTGAAACCTGTTAAAACCTATTGAGACCTATTGAGACCAATTGAAACCAATTGAAATTTCAATTGGTGTTCAATTGGTTTCAATTGGATTTTCGTCTTGGGACCCGATTGGCCCCGAGTCAGGCCATGGGAAAGACACGTAGTCTCGTCATGCTACACCCCTTTAAGGCGCCATTCTCCCTCCTTTGTAAAACCTAATAAATATTCCATATATACAAGATACATGAATAATGGATTCAGAAGTGAAATATGATGTTGCATGTGGACTGTTGGGGTCTGAAGAACACTCAGCATCTGTAGTATTTGTGGAAATGTGATTAAAATTCACCGGAAAAATGTTTTATTTCCTGGTTATTCATGGTTATTGCCAAGTATTCAATTCAGGGTCGAAATGGATATGGCGTTCCTTTCATCGGATAGAATTTCTGCTGGCAGAAACCCCCATGCTATCAATAAACGTGTTCGTAATTAGGATTTGCGCATGGGCAGATAAAGGTCATTAATTCGTTCCCAAATTGTAATACCATCGACACGAATACTGGTATCGTGCTCATGAAAGTTATGTAATCAGTATCCATTAATGCACCGACAGTACATTTATCTGATACACAGGTGGAAGTATTCTTCTTAAGAGGAAAAGCAAAGGTATTCATGAAGCACCTCCATCACTCCGGCAGTGAATGTTCTAAAATGCACAAATGGGAAGTATCCATCGTGTAAAAGATCTTTGGATATGTTGGGGTCATGCGTTCCGAAGCTACATGTATTTACGAACTGGCTTATTTACCCCACTTCTGACGGGAATCAAAATGGTTCCTGTATTAAAGAGAAGGTTGAGTTCTGGGAAGAGGTGAAAAATAATTTGTGAACTTTATCATTCTTATTATGCAAGTGTGGAAGAACATCATATAAGACATGTTCCTTGAAAAGCATGGCTCTTCAAATGCCTTCATATTCTAAATATGTCATGTTCATCGTAAAACTCGGGGGGGGGGGTAGGTTTTTACGCCACGTGTTCGTGTAGTCCCATATACATCTTTCTGTGTAGAGTGCTTGGAACTTTACCAAGACTTGTCCAAATTTCTTATCATTTTGATGATTCCAGAACCTTGCAATACACACAAATTCTTATATGCTTGATGATCAACCTTTTTTGGTCGATTCCACACCGTTTCTTTCACAATGCAATCGCATAACCAGAACTCAACTTCATCTTTAAGTCGATGAGAGGATACAAATCAGTCGTCAAAGGGTTTACCTCTGTTATTGTTAGCCCCTGTTTTTTTTTTTTTTTTTTTTTTTTTTTTTTTTGTTGTTTCCAAAATAACAATTTTCTTCTATCATTAGGGACCGGATAGGAGTTTCGTATCGACGTCCTCTTGGGGCTATGTAATTGAGCTTCCTTCATTGCCACGCAACTGGACTACAAACAGAACATCTTTCACTATTCCAGGTAAAATAAACTATCCCTAATCAACCGAGGTAAATAGTTGTCAGGTAATTTTCGTAGAAGGATTGTTAAAGGTATCCGGTAACTTTGTCTCAGATTCTGAAACAAAATCATGGATTTAGCTCATGCTGCAATGATAATTATAAACCTTTAGGTCAGTCAGAAACCCCGTGACTTTTACAAGCCGATCGCCTGTCTGATTATCAAGATATTAATGATTGGAAATCAAAACGAAATTTTGCGTTTGCCTAACGGTTTTCACTACAGTCTACTGGGGAAAACGAATATGGTAAAACCGGTCACTCAAGGATTTTTACTTTTTTGAAGCACTATATAAATATCCATATTATTATTATTATTATTACTTGTGGATCATTAAGAAGCACGATTTTGTTAGTCTTCAATATACACCATATCACAAACACTTATAACACGTTGGGTCGTGCATCTCAGATTTAACATTGTTAAACGATGCCTTTAAGTTGTCCAAAGGGTAAGTTGTTCTTTAGGGCAGTTGTCCGGAGGTACATATTCTGGTCTGGGAATTAGTTGTCCCAGACTAATGCTATGGTCACATTACCAAAAAGTAGCCTGCTCGGCGGCCGAGCGGCGAGTTTTTAACCAATTCTGCCCGGCGGCTGCCCGGCGACCGAGCGGTGGCCGCCCAGGCACCGCTCGTTTTTAGGGCATCGCTCGGTCGCCGCTGAAGTTTTAGCGCGGAGTTAAATTTTGGGCGGCGCCTGCTCACTTTTCACTCGCCGCCCAAAATAGGCTCCGTGCCTGGGCGGTCGCCACCCGGACACCGACCTAATTGCTGGGCGATGCCTAAATTCCAGCAGCGACCGAGCAAGCTACTGATCGGTCGTTTGCTGCTCAGATTTGTGACCATAGCTTTAGGGATGGTTGTCCGAGGCAGTTCAATGGGAGTTTATTTGTACGGGGGAAATGGTCTGCTTGGGGGGGGGGGGGGGGGTTACTGGTCCTGATATACTGGTGCAAATGTGGATACAGGGATTGCTGATATAGTCTTTTGAGGAAAATGTATTTTACTTGTATGTTGATCTAATTCAGAAAATGAAAGGGAAAAAATTCAAATCTAATCAAAATTGAAATGAAGTAATGAAATATGACAAACGGGTCAATTTCATAAGTGTAGTGTTGAGCAAAGACAAAGAGATTGAAGTGAATGAATGACACATCTATTTATTTATTCAAACATCTCATAATTATCAACACGCATATAGCTCTTTATCTATATCTACATGAGTGTGTATCATTTAATCTTCCTAAGATGTGGACCCATTCTCAGAATATCTTGGATTTATATCTGCATTCAACAGTGCTGGTCAAGGAGGGAAGGCATCCTTTCACCTACCCGATATGACTAGTCGTAAGTACCTTTCACGTACCCGATATGACTAGTCGTAAGTACCTTTCACATACCCGATATGACTAGTCGTAAGTACCTTTCACATACCCGATATGACTAGTCGTTAGTACCTTTCACATACCCGATATGACTAGTCGTAAGTACCTTTCACATACCTGATACGACCAGTCGTAAGTACCTTTCATATACCCGATATGACTAGTCGTAAGTACCTTTCACATACCCGATACGACTAGTCGTAAATACCTTTAACATACCCGATATGACTAGTCGTAAGTACCTTTCACAATTCATACACGATATGACTAGTCGTAAGTACATTTCACAATTCATACACAATATGACCAGTCGTAAGTACTTTTCACAATTCATACACAATATGACTATTTGTAAGTAAATGACCGAAATGAAAGAATCACATACATAAAAAAAAAAACAATGTTATAGACGCTTTTCAAGAGGGGTTATCGAAATAAGGAAAATATGTTTTTGACAATATTATGACAATTTGGTTAATTTTGACGTTTCACTTTTGTCTGCAACAGTAAATCGGTGGATTAAACTATCATTTATTTCATTCATTCGTTCATTCATTTTTTTTTTGAGGGGTAATCTTTACATGTTTTCTTTCTTTTTTGTCTTTCTTTTTTAATGTGTTTGGGCTTTTATGTTTAGAGTTTATAACCACGATATCATTGTTTTCATTACAGAGCCTCAAACTCCAAGAGCGAACTTTACGATCACTCCGACATCAATCACCCTTTCGATACCCACACCAGACCAACCTAATGGTGTCATCATCAGATACGACATCCGCTGGAGAAACTACAAAACGGAAACATGGTAAGTGGTAAGAATCAAGGGATAGATTCAATGATAATTAATACATGGTGCTGGTTATTTTACCCGACTGCTGAGAAAGCCTAAATGCTTGTAAGCAACCAGACGGCCGGGGGCTTTAGGTCCTCTCCGAGAGACCTGGTAATGAGGATTAATGCCTTACCAAAGGGCACTAGCGCATCGACTTGGTTTCGAACCCAGGTCACCGGATTACGAGACTACTGCTCTACCGACTGAGCTATCGCGCCTCCACAAGCAGGGACTAGCAACCCGTACTACTACAAGAAGGAGAATAATCCCTGACTATGTCCGGACAACTACCCCTTCGACAATAACCCAGGAAAACTATCCAGGGCATCTTGTCTCTGATAAAAACTAATCATTAGGACAATTACCACGAAAAACTAATCAAGAAAACAACTATGTAGGTCTTACTTCCGATGGTAATTCAGTTTATTCATTCAATGGGTAGTTGTCCGGGATAGATGCTCGGCGTAATTGTCTGCGGTAGTTGTCCGGGGTTAATCGTCCTAAGGGTATTTGTCCAAGGGTAACCAGGGGTAATTGTCCTGAGGTTGAGGTTTTTTGTTGAAATATGTAGTGAAATATGGAAATCATGATATCATTGCAGACAGAAGTATCCGATTCACCATATTTTTACGCACCTTGCTGAAACAAACAATTTTATTCGCTGTCTTTCAGGCTCGACGTCACAATCCCATGGTCAGCTTCGTCCCCAGTTATTCAGCAGGTAATTTCGCCCCTCAAGCCAGGTACCTCGTACACTGTCGAGGTTAAGGTATTCAACAAACACGGAAGCTCGATGAAATCTGAAAGAATCGTTACTCCGCATGAAGGTAAGACGATTCTTGCATTCAGGGCATATCTTAATTAAGACAGTCATTAGCAAAATATAGTTTATAGTTAGAGCGATCTTTCATGACAATTGAGGAAATTTTCATTTTTGTTCTCAATAATATATGAACAGATAAAAAAAACACTTGAACTTGAACTTGATCATCAGTGAGTACAATGTGTTTCTCATTATTCTCATTTGGTTTTTAAGTTGTAGATGAATGCACCAAATTAAAACATTTACAATGATATGACAGAGCTAGGATAGGTATAGACGTCTGCTGAGCTCCCGTACTAACTTTAACAATAACAAATATAAAATAGTTCTTACAGGCCTACATTCACTCATATGGAGACAATATGTCATGCCATTACTTTTCTGTTATAGCAAGCGGATTCTACTGCATGAGATGAAATCTGATAATCTGTCAGTGTAATGTTGATTGGCAGATCCGGTAACCTTTAAGGAGGCTGGGAGCCTGACAAGTATCATATCTCTATATCATCTCTGACATGTAAAAGAAATTTTATTCAGACGTCAACAAATTTTCGACGGGGAGGTACATATGGCTTTATTTAAGTAAAACAAAAATGAATTTTGCCTCCTGGACGGGTAATAATTTTTTCCGTGCCACATTCATAATAATAATACTCTGTTTAAATTATTTCATTTAATAGTACCCTCTATAGCGCCGAGAAACGTCACGGTAGACACTGTAACAGGACAGCCACATGTTGTCGAAATCGGTTGGGAACGTCTTCAAGAGTGCGACGACTTTGCCTCTGGGTATAGAGTACTTTACTGTCCATTAAATAGCAGCTTGTTCAGCAACAAAACACGATGTAAAGGTAAGCAAGAGGTGATTTTAAACAGATAAAGGTAAATGCCATCGTGAAATTAATATCTGTAATAGAAACAAAGAGACTGTCTCCGGCCGGCCCACCGAAAACATATCGACCAGACTCGAGATAAAATACCTGGAAAATAAAGTCCAAAATCTCCCGATTACCTATCCACTCTTGGATATTTCAACAAAGGCTGAACAGAGATAGCTCTCCTAAGAATATTCCGTGCTATAGGTCTTGACCAAACTGGGCTTTGTATTCCATTTGTGCAACCACTATACCACATCATTCCTCAGTACTTTAGAAACTCAATAGAGACATTATTTTGTAATAAATGCGATAAGGGTTGTGAAGGTCATTAGCTCCCGAGGCCGACAGTGTCGGCTCTGCGGCCTTCTGATAATTTTTCTTAGGGTCGGTCTCGTGGACTCTCTGTCTCCAGGATATCCCTGTCGAACAGCCTAGTTAACATTCAGAAAAGTTATCAATGTACCTTCGAAACCAACATGTTGGTTTTGAGAACCTTCAGATAATTTTTTTCTTCAGAAGATTTGGAGTTAGACATTGTATCGTGCTGTCGGTCTCATGGACTCTAAGTCTACCGGGATGTCTCGCTCGTGGGTTGTAAATCTATTCCAGGGGCGTTTCACAAAACTTGTCATCAGTGACAAGTGACAGTTTTTGTTATAAGCTACTGAAAACCTTGCCTCTGATTGGTTATCAATTAAACAGACTTGTCACTGATTTTTGTCATTCGTGATTGACAAAATGCTTTGTGAAACGGGTCCCAGATGGTTTGTCGGTCAAACTGACTGTGATGCTTCCAATTTAACAATCTCCTGCAGATGCTGAGAAGACCATCATCATCAACAAGGCAGGTGTTAGCGTTCCCGACTCATCACCATTTCGGGTGGGAGGCTTGGTACCGTTCACCTGGTATTCATTCCGTCTCCGACCCTTCAACCAGGCGGGTGATGGTTCCACAAGTGATACAGTTTTCGTGCGCACCCTGCAAGGAGGTAACGTAGACACCCGTAATCTTCCTAAAAGAACCCAACTGCCATCACTGATGCGCAGAGGAGATACTGATATTACAAAAAGCGGGAAAATGTTTCGAAATCAACGATTTTTTTTTAAAATAATTTTTTTCTCGCAAGTTTGGGGGTTTTAGTATTATAACGGAACATTGAATACCTGTGTATTCCAAAATTTGTTTTTAATGGATTCCAGTTGTATTTCACTGTATACAATATAATGGTTACCAAGTGATTAATTCCAGTAAGTTTTCACCTTGATATTGTGAATTCCGCGAGTAACTGAAAAATATAAAGATACTGTTTATTTCCGAGAAGAATTATAATAAATTGCAATAATTAAAATGTATCTTTGTGTATAAGATTGAATATAATTCAGTCAAGATGTGGCATATTGTGGAGATGAAGTTTCACTCATCTTTCCCCATAGTCCCATCTCCTCCTGTGGATATGAACCTATCACCAATGTCGTCATACGGCTTCATGGATGTCACGTGGTCACCACCTTTGACCCCAAATGGCGTGATTATGCATTACGTCATCACGTACAACACGAACACGACCCGAACCAACTCGACGTTCATCAGGCTGAAGGTCTACGGCGATACGGACTATGCTGTTGGCTTAAGCGCATGCACCCGACCCGAAAAAGGGTTTGCATGCAGTACCTCGACCTTCCAGAGATTCAGAACCCCAATTTCAGGTAAGAATTTTTTATTTTTTTGTATAGGTAAAATTCTGTCAAAATTATAAGTAAAAGTTGACATAATGTCTATGTTTAAAGTTTTTATCTCAGAACTATATCCCCCAGGCGCGGATCCAGAATTTCTTAGGGGAGGGGGCCCAACTTTTTTTTTTTTTGCTCCCGAAAATATGAAAATCGCGCCGGCCGAAAAGTCGCTCAGTGGGGGGGGGGAGGGGGGGGAGGGGGGGGGGGAGGGGGGGGGGGAGGGGGGGGAGGGGGGGGGGGAGGGGGGGGAGGGGGGGGGGGTAGTGAGCACATTTTTTTTTTTTTTGATCCTCAAAAAAAAATTTAATTTGCACCCCCCCCCCCCCCCTTGAGCGCCAGGGGGGGGGGGGGGCCAACCCCCCAAAAAGGTAAAAATCACGTGATTTTACATGATTTTTTTCTCAAGGGGGGGGGGGCCCGGGCCCCCCGGCCCCCCCCCCCCTGGATCCGCCACTGATATCCCCTAGATACCATCAAGTTTGGTTTCCGATCATTTTGAAACGAGCCCTTATTTCACCTTCAAAAAAAAAAATTCAACGAAGATGTACTGTTCCCAGAAGCGTGTCTAAAATCCAATCCGTATCTGGTATTGCTTAATAAAGGCTTTGCAATTGTATTTTAATGTCACTTTCCTCTACTAGAGACTATGCTTTGTATTTGTTATTAAACCTTCATTGCGATCCCATGTCATCCTTATCCCCCTTGCACACGAGGTGTCATTCCAATGGCGTAGGATTGCGTCAGTGAATGGTGTGGTCTTTGACGCGCTATGCGAGACTGCCAAATGTAAAAATGAGCAATAGAAAGATTGCGTTGAATTACTAGCGCCCTGCGTTGATTGACGCAATCAAAATAACGCCTCGTTTGCGACGAGCATTTAACGCGTAACAGAAGAATTCCTCTAGGTATGGCTTCATCAGCTCGAGATTGCCAAATAGCCCGCATTTTCTGATTTGAAATCGCGTTATCATCAGCTCGAGACTCGACCTCAAAACTCGAATTAGCGGGATATTTTGCCAAATAGCCAAAGATATCTTTGGATGATTATCTCGACAAAATATCTCGCTAATTGCAACTGCGGGCTGATGAAGACGCATATTAGCTGGATAATTTGCGATCGGGATAGTTAAAATAGCGCGTTATTTGGCAATCTCGAGCCGATTATGACAGGCCTGACAACTATTCTATGTACAGCTCCATCATCACCACGTCTTCAGGACGTGCTACGCAGTGGTCCGACCAAGGTCAAAGTCCGTTGGGACCCTCCGGAACACCCCAACGGTCCTATCCAAGACTACGTCATCAAGGTTTGGTCAGCATCAACTTCCTTCCCGTTCTTCGAGAATGCGACAGTCGACGTCGTCGATGTCGACCAGAGGGAGGACGAGGTCGCGATCGAATGCGGAGTTGACGTCCAGGAGGAGAAGGCGTTTGAGATCGAGATTTTCGCACGCACGGTCAACGAGGAGGGTGTGGAACTGGAGGGTGAGAGCGATACGGAAGGAATCGTCATGTGTGGAGCTCCCCAGCATGGTAAATGTGTTTTAAAAACATTTTTTTTTATTTTAATAATCCTTTTTCTGAAATGATAACACCAATTAACGTTATTTAGTTTATGCTTTCTAAGGTTTCCTCCACAATACAGCTAATATATCTTTGTTTACTTTCTACTTAAATTATAGATATCATTTATGACTTTAAATAAATGAAATTATGTATCATTCTTAATTTTGGGGTTTTCTATGCTCATAATGATATGTAAAGTAACAGTCTTTGTGAATTCCCCACCATCTCTCTCTCTCTTAACTCTTTTCTCCGCCCCGCCTCTCTGTCCTCCCCTCTCACCCCTCCCCTCTCACCCCTCTCTCCCTCTCCACCATCGCACTTTCTCCTCACTTTCTTATTTCGAATATCCAGTCTCCGCAATGACGCTCATACTACCACTGAGCATCATCGTCCTCATCTCATCTCTCATACTGGCCGGTCTGATTTACTGGCGGTGGTTTCGAAGATCACACAAACTGGACATTTACTTCTCAGACATTGTCAATATCAGAAAGGTATGTTTCAAGTAGATAACATAAATAAAGTAATAGATACGTCTTTAAAAATCTAAAAACTCAAAGACGTCGCGAGGAAATTGAGGGAAAATGTTAGTCCATATTTTCTGACAATTTGAAATAAGAATTTCATCTCATTTTATTAACTCACTTCAATATATATTCAATATATTCAATAACCATTACAAAATATATGAAAATTGTAAACATATTTTAAACAGAACTGGTCAAGGCTCCATGATCACGATGATAATCAAATCTGCTTGCTATCTTGTGAGCCATGACAATCAAATTTCCTACGAGGAAGTAATACAAGTTCTAAAAAGTTTTAAAAATCGGCGATTTGCCGACAGTGCTTGAAAAGTTACAAATCTGCCAACAGAAATTTGGAAAGAGAGGTATCGCCTCTTTGACACCCTTAATTCCTGCGAGAATCCTACAAAAAAATATTAATTTTCTTGTGAATTTCTTTTGAAATCAACTTCTGTTCAAATGCTTTGGCACTGAAGCTATCGCTCTATCATTTTATTATATTGTCATTGAGTTGCTCCTATTTCTATGAAGATTCTGAGTCTGATTAAAATACAGATACTTTTACAGAATAATGATGTTAGTTAGTAATAAGGGCATCGTTTCACGGAACCGTCATGTTCGCCGACACAATTAACACGCATTTAAATGGGATGTCGGCAAACTTGTACTTAGGAAGGTTTCGAAAAACGATTCTTAGACAAAACTCAGTGAATAAGTGAATAACTAAAGATTTTCTGCAATATTTTAGCAAAACAAAAACTTATTTTTATTTGCAGAGGAACAAGCGATTTCAGCATCTACGCATTCCGAGGCCTGTCGCACAGGAGAGTGAGGTGTTCGACGTCATCCGAACGCGACCGTCCTTCGAGCGTACCGAGGTCGAACCAAACGAAGTCGAGAAGCACTTTCATCAGTTGGCCGTCATCGATGATCACCGTAAATATACAGGCGAGAACGTGCCTCGTGCTATGGGGTATTTATCGAAAGATGACTCCTGCTCCGTCTCAACAAAGTGTTTGGAATATTCACGGAGGGATTTATGTTACGACAACGGCGACGACGACGTAGATGAAAACGATAATCGTCTTTATACCAGCGGATCAAGCGGTTACTTGTCGCTCGATGGATTATTCAGTTCCAACTCGCTCTATCGTAAATCCTCCATCTCCGATGTCGAATCGTTATGTAAAGAAGTGGTGTACTCCCAAGTTTTAGTTACCCCCGGGATGCCGAAAAATTCTCGCATGACCCGATCTTTGCCGAGCGTTGCCGAACAGACTTTGAAAACCTCCCCATCTTGTTATCAAGGCGCAAAAGATGTCTTCAAAGATTCATGTGGAGATATAAGGACTGGTGAAGACTCGGATAAAATTGTTAACATTGTTTGTCTTCAACGAACGAACAACCTAAAAAACGCCCCATTTAAGAGAAGTCATGATGAGCCCATATATTACATGCTTGCAAGGGGCGAGGGAGAATGTGACTCGTGACACGATCTTTGCCGATCGTTGCCGAACAGACTTGAACAACCTCCCCATCTTGTTATCAAGGCGCAAAAGATGTCTTCAAAGATTCGTGGAAAGATATAAGGACTGGTGAACACGCGGATAAAATGTGCAAATGAAATCATTCGATTTAATGTGAACTACAGCGTTATATATCAACTCCGAGTGCAAAAATGTGAAAATGTAATATAAATGTAATAAATTTTTGGTTTAAGTCAATGTGGCATCAGCAGGTGTAAATAGTTATGTGGGTTTGTTTATAAGATAAACATTAATCAGAAAAGAGCGTGAAACACGGATAGCTCAGTGGTTGAGCAGTGGTCTCATAACCGGGAGTTCCTAGGTTCGAAACAAAGTCGATGCACTCGTGGCCTTTGATGAGGCATTCATCTTTATTACAAAGTCCATCGTATAGAACTAAAAACCCGTAAGTTCTCTCGTTGCTGACCGATATAATTATTTGCTTGCTTTTGTAAGATAAATCACCAGTCACTCAATTACATGTAACCTACAAATCCAGCAAGTTTGTTGTGACATAGCTTTTTGTATTCCTATCATATTTATATAGACACATCTACCATTGGCAAAGAACATTGCATTTCATTTGTCTTTTTATTTAGATTTTTCTCATTTATGTAAACCTGGATAAGAATTTTTTTCTGCGTACTTGAATAAAGTTATTTCTTCTAAATTAAAACTATATTAATGTACGAAATAATTTTTAATACAAGAATTATTCCACTACTTCGATGTAAAAGCACTTGCTTTTCGATTTTGCCGATTTTCTCCCACTTTTGTAAACCTTGAGTATGTTCTGTATATTTGAACAAAGTGCTGTTTACGGAATAATTGAATGTTACCCTGAACGAGCCTTACCAGGCGGGTGAAATGGGAATTTATATATTCCTTACATTTTTAAACTATTTTCATTATTCGTTCCCGGAAATATCTTAGACTTACAATATTGTATAATCATCTGGGGGGCGTTTCACAAAACTTGTCATCAGTAACAAATGACAGTTTGTGTTATAAGCTACTGAAATCCTCGCTTCTGATTGGTAATCAGCAGATTTGTTACTGATTTTTGTCATTTGTCATTGAAAAAAGGCTTTGTGAAACGGGTCCCAGAAGCCTACAACCAACAAGCTGTGCTTTTACAAAGTGACGTCATAATATCTTATGTACTAATGTATTTGGAAATTGTACTTATTTTTGAATAAAGATATAGAATATACTTCTATTCTTGTCAATAAATCTTGTAAACAAATCTACTTGTAACTTCATATGTGAAATAAGAAATAAATTGATCTGAACTGAATTAGACAGACCGTGAGTAATGGGGAGGTGTGGGATGGAATCGTATCATCTTAATTTCACGGACATCCCCCCCAGGCCCCTGGGAACGATTTTTTCACCGGGGGTGCTCAGGGTCCTGGGAACGATTTTTTCACCGGAGCCGCTGAGATATATATATTGCGAAATTTACGCAACGACTCAGCCAGCCGTTTAATAAGCGGGGGGGGGGGGGGGGGGGGGGGGGGGGTAAGCGTACACTTTTTTTTTTTTTTTTTTGAGCCAAAAAAAATCGCAACGACTCAGCCAGCCGAAATGTCGCTCAGTGGGGGGGGGGGGGGGGGGTGTAAGCGTACACTTTTTTGGGGGGGGGGGGCGCAAAGAAAAATCGCAACGACTCAGCCAGCCGTTGAATAAGCGGGGGGGGGGGGGGGGGGGGGGTAAGAGGAATTTTTTTTTTTCGCAAAACATCTCCATAATTTGAAAATTTGGTCGATCGGTATTGGGGTGGGGGAAGGTCTGTCATTTTTGGTCACCAATTATCACAATTTCTTTATTTTTATATAAAAAAAAATTAAAAAAACGTTTCGAAGGGGTAATTTTATATGATTTTGTGAAAGAAACGTTATAATTTCGTATATATACAGTAAATATATCATACCGAAAAAAAATTGCAGGGGGTGCTATGCCCCCCCTGGAAAAATTCCGGGGGTGCTGCAGCACCCCAGCACCCCCGCTTCCCAGGGCCATGCCCCCCCCCTCTCTCTCTCTCTCTCTCTCTCTTGCTCTTTTCCACAGTTAATTGGGGATGCCATTGTGCGCCCTGTACTGCTGTCTGCATAATCTTTTTCATGATGAGAATTGCAAATTTTAAAGAGCCATTACTATTGTAGATAACAAGATAAATAGCCTATTTTTCAAATGCCAACAAATTGTATGTACATGTAGGGCTGATTAATTATACCACTTAAAATGGAAACAAATATAATGATAATTATTATGATAATAATAGTAATAAGGGTCTTTTTTCTTATTTCGTCAATGAAGAAGAAGAAGAGAGAAGGGGGAATGTTCGTTGTCGCCATGATCGAGATATGGGAAAGAGAGAGAGAGAGAGAGAGAAAGAGAGAGAGAGAGAGGGGGGGGGGGGGGAGAAAGAGAGAGATTGCGTTTCTAGTGTGTGCGCGCGTGTGTGTGACGGAGGGGTAATCAGTATCATCATAACACTTCTTTTTTTCTTCCTCTCCAGAGGTACTTTTTATTCAATAATTCTACAATTAAAAAATATTTACAACATTGAATTTATCAAATGAATATAGAGCCATTCAACATCCATAATAACGTTAAGAGGCTTTTAAACACGTAATTCATAATCATCGTCATTATATCACCATCATCATCACCATCAACATCAATATCATCTTGATCCTCGTCACAACCACCCCCATCATCATCACCACGATTACCATAAAGCTAATATCATAGATGCAATTGAACAAATTTGTGTTGTTTTCCTTTCAATTAATACTGCTAATATCTCATCCCCCGCTTCGTTGCCATTTAAAAATTGTCATCGTAATATAGTTCTAGTTCCAGATGAATTACTCCATCATTTGCAAATTACCGTGACTGATGATAATGAATACTATACGCTCGATCATTATACCATGAAAAACAGACATATGGTTGTCCGTTGTCATGACAACAGTTGTTAACAATTCTGAGCACGGCTATTCCCGAACACACTAATGGATTTTTTTTTTCCATTGCGCCCACATGACCGTTAAAACTTGCCATCTTTGTAAATATTCTCGTCATGGAGATTGGTCATTTCAGCTAATTAGAATTAAAACACGACTTTTCCCTTGTTTCTCCACCGGGTTCAACCGCCTATTTTTTCCTCGCTTCAATCATAATTGTGTGCTTTTCATAGTTTCTAATGTATTTATCTGTTTGCTGTTATCTGCTTCTCCCCTGCTTTGACTTCTTGTAAAACTACAACGATACTGATTTTTTTTTTTGTCAAAGCCCCTCTTAAAGTGTTGGGAGCCCCCAAAAATGATGGCAAAATTTTACTAAATTGTATCATAATGTGAAAGAGGGTGTCATTAAAGACCCATTTCTGCAAGGATTTTTCAAAACAAATGTGTTTGAAGTCGAATATTGAAGAAAGAGTACAAATATTAGGTTATCTGCGTACAACAGAACACCCAAATTATGTATTCTTTTAACAATATTTGTCTTCAAACACATTTTTGGGGGGAAATTTTTGAAGAAGGGTGTCTTAAATGACATCCTCTTTCACATTAAGATACAATTCAAGTGAAATTTTGCCATAAAATTTAACATTTAGAGGTTATTTCACCTAACCTAAATCACAATAAATAGATTGATTTCTGATGATGCAATATATGACACACTCTTAAATCTTCTGAAGTTCATATATCAGCGCATATCAATTTCAATAATGAACGTGTCGTGGTATAGTGGTTCATTCACTTGACTCTTAATCCAAGGGTTGACGGTTCGAATCTCAGCCCGGCACTAACGTCCTTTGGTAAGACATTAATCCGCATTTGCCACTCTCCACAAATGGGTACCCAATCTACCAGAAGGCTTCGTGTTTGGCGCCCAGCTAAGAACGGCATAATCATGTCATACAGTTGGAACGCCAGAACCGTGACCGTTTATTTATATAGAACCGGTTATTCAAATAAAAACGTGGATCTATAGTTCATTAAAAAAACAGGACTAAAAACGACTATGAAAGAAAAAAAATTACATGAAGAGAGATTAATATTCATAATTTTGGAGTGTAAAGCGATTATGGACAGTAGATCACAGAAGAAAAATCACTGAATTACTAACTGCTATATAGTGATTTAGAATAAAAAAATAAAAAGTGGTAATAATAATTGTAACTTATTTACCAAGGGTATAGCCATAATATTTTAGCACTTGTTGATTTAGATTGTATGTGGTGGTGGTGGTGGTTATTTTACCGGACTGCTAAGAAAGCATAAATGTTTGTAAGTAAGCAACTAGACGGCCGACGGCTTTAGGTCCTCTCCGATCGAGGGACCTGGTAATGAGGAGTAATGCCTTACCAAAGGGCACTAGCGCATCGCCTTGGTTTCAAACCCGGCCGGGTCACCGGATTATGAGACCACTGCTCTACCGACTGAGCTCTCGCGCCTCTTCCTGTCGGCCCTGTAATCATCACCCCGCAATAACCAGGTACCGATTCACCCCTGTGTGAAGAGTGGCAAATGTGGATTAATATCTTGCTGAACCTTCAATCATTGGAAAGTCAAGTGAATGTACCACTAGTGCTATCAAGACAACTCCACACATTCTACAAATAAATTGCATGTTATCAAAAATATATTATTGCAAATACAAAACCCACTAATCCATCATCAAAGCATGAATTCACTGACCATTTTCTCTCATTCTTTTTTTTTTCTTTCATTTTATTCTCATCAACTTGCTGCACATGTTCATGCCATTAAACAACCAACCCCCTGATACCACAATCCAAAACAAAACGTGTTTGAGTGGAGCTCTGAAAAGGACTGGTGAACTAGATTATGAATGCGGAGAGAGTGGGAGAGAGAGAGAGAGAGAGAGGGAGAGAAAGGGAGAGAGGGGGAGAGAGAGGGGGAGAGAGAGAGAGGGGGAGAGAGAGGGAGAGAGAGAGAGAGAGAGAGAGAGAGAGAGAGAGAGAGGGTGGTTGATTCCAACAGGTTGATTGTTCATCATCGGCCACTCCCCAAAAAAATACCTCTCTCTCTCTCTCTCCTAATTTTTTCTCTCTACTTCTCTCCCACAATAACAAGTAGTCCTCCCAAGGAGTTATACAATTATAACTCCTTGGTCCTCCATTGAAGAAAACCCAAAGAGTTCTTCTTCTCC